ATATGGGGGCCATGCCGTGGGCCCCAGGGGACCCCCATCACCGGCTTTATCCCATCCGTGTGCAAGGAGGGGGTGTGGGTTGGGGGACCCTGGGGCAGCCCTGGCTGGGTGGGGGTCCCGGTGGTGTGGCCAGTGACGTTCCGGTGCGGCACGGGATACGGGATGGCGCGTGGGTGGCCGAGCGCCCACGGGGGTGGATTGCCGGGCCACGGGGTGGATTGCCGGGCCCTGAGTCACGGGGTGGGGTGCAGGGTGAGTCCCGGGGCGGAGGGAGCCGTGCGGTGACTCACGCCCCCGCTGGCCCCCCCGGCGGGGGGGCACCACCCCGCTCCCACCCAGACCCCAGGGTTTGAGGGTCTCCATGGCCCCCCAGGGATGCTGCCCCCTCCCTCGTTCGCTGCGGGTACCATACCAGTGTCAGTACCACGGCCAAGGTGGGGCTGAGCATCCCAGGGGTGACACTGGGCTGGCTGGGACAGGGGACATGGTCCTGGTGCCACAGGGGGTGGGATGCCATTCGAGGCCTGACCGCAGGCCTGGGTCAACCCCAAAACGCTGCCGCCGCTGCAGTGGGTGGTCCCAGTTCCCGCAGCCTTGGCTTTCCCATTCCTCCCCGTCCCACATCCCACAGCCACCCTGGGGACACCGTAGCCATCCCTTGGGCATCATGACTGCTGTCGGGAGAACAGACACCCCTGAGAGGCCGTATCCATCCCTTGGAAATCTGGCTGGCTTTGGGTACCACGGCCACCCCTGGGCACCACTGCCATCCCTGGGACACCACAGTCACCCCCAGGACACCGCCGCCATCCCTGGGACACCATGGCCATCCCTGGGACACCATGGTCACCCCCAGGACACTGCAGCCATCCCTGGGACATCATAGCCATCTCTGGGACACCATGGCCACCGCTGAGACACCACTGCCAGCACCATGGTCACCCCTGGCTCACCAAGGCTGTCCGTGGGACAGCACGGTCACCTCTGGGACACTGCGGCCACCCCTGGGACACTGTGGCTGACTCTGGGACACTGTGGCCATCTCTGGGACACCACAGCTATCTCTGGGACACCTTGGCACCACTGGGACACTGTGGCCACCCCTGGGACACTGCAGCCAGCTCTGGGACACCGTGCCACCCCTGGCCATCCCTCATTCTGCCCAGTCCTGGCCACTGGTGGTCCCTGCCCCCCGGGGTGTTGAGTGGAGGGGCTGGGGGCAGTTTCCCCTTGGGTTTCTTCCCACCCTGCTGCTTCCTGGGTCCCCCCTGGCCCTGCCTGTGCTGGGTTCCCAGTGCTGCCGTGGGGCGAGGCGGGGGCTGCCCCTGCGGCCAGCGGCAGGGACCCCGGCATGGGTGGCTGTTGCCCTCGCCCCGGCCGTGCTGGGGGGCCGTGCTAGCAGTTGG